ATCCGCTTGTGAAAATACACACGCGTCTCGAAGAAACCTTGGGGAAAAAAACACCTGTCCCAACACGCACATGACGCCGATGTTATGTGATGGGTCTATTTATCTAATCTACAGCAGATAACGGATGTTCGGTGGAAGTTAATAGGTACTCATATACCATACACTGCTGTAAGGCCACACAACCAAAGTCTAATTTGTTGTCTTACAAGGAAAAGGAAATATGAAGATTCTCTCTGTGATTATTGCTTCCTGTGGTTTGTATTATTTATGTTGTTCGTATGGTTTAGTGGTTTAGAATTTCTTGTTATTTAACGATTCACTGAGTTAGAGAGTGAGAAAAATATTGAGCATTTACAGTAAAATCATGATTGATGGAAGCTTAAGAAAGGTATTAGTATGTTATTTTACGTTAGTATTTTATTATATTTTATCAGTTATTCAGAATGTAGTCAACTAGTAAAGATTTTTTTGTTTTCCAGTAATGGTCTGCTCTGCGCAAGGTAAGTGCGAATCATAATTTTCTTTTGCAGACATTGTAAACGAGTATCAGAAGAAAGTATCAAACAGTTTTATAATAACACCCTCTGTCTGTCTTTCTGTCTGTCTGCCTTTCTGTGTCTGTGTGTCTTTCTGTCTGTCTTTCTTTCTGTCTCTCTTTCTGTGTCTGTCTTTCTGTTTATCTGACTGTCTGTCTGTTTTACTGTTTGTGTCTGTCTGTCTTTCTATCTGTCTTTTTTTCTGTCTGTCCTTCTGTGTATGTCTGTCTGTCCTTCTATCTGTCTTTTTTCTGTCTGTCCTTCTGTGTCTGTCTGTCTATCTGTCTTTGTGCCTGTCTGTCTTTCTGTGTCTATCTGTCTCTCTTTCTATCTGTCTGTTTTTCTGTCGGTCTGTCTGTTTGTTTGTCTGTCTGGCTGTTTTTTTCTGTATGTGTGTTTGTCTGTCTGTCCGTTTTTCTTTGTGTCTGTTTTTCTGTCTGTCTGTGTCTCTCGGTCTGTCTGTCTGTCTGTCTTTATTTCTTCATCTCTGTCTGCCTGTCCTCCTCTGCTTCCCTCATTCTCTCTCTCTCTCTCTCTCTCTCTCTTTCTCTCTTTCTCTCTCTCTCTCTCTCTCTCTCTCTCTCTCTCTCTCTCTCTCTCTCTCTCTCTCTCTCCCTCTCGCTCTCTCTCTCTCTCTCTCTCTCTCTCTCTCTCTCTCTCTCTCTCTCTCTCTCTCTCTCTCTCTCTCTCTCTCTCTCTCTCTCTTTCTCCCTCCCTCTGTCTCTCCCTCCCGCCACTTCCCTCTCCCTTTCTTTCATCTCTCCCACCATTTCTCCCTCTCCCTCTCTCTCCTTTTCTCTCTCTCCTCCTTACAGTGACCAATCCATGTCCCACGGGTTTTGAGGTCTTCTGGTATGACTCTATAGCCCCCGTGTGCATCAAATTCGCCATGTACGTTAAAGGAACCTGGGAAAACCTGCGTGCGATGTGCCAGGCAGAGGGCGCTGATCTGGCTGTGTTAAAAGACGACCTTCATTACCAGGTCGTCCAGTATATCAATAGTCATCCGGGTAAGGATGATTGTATTCGTGTAGTTCTAGCATAGATTAAAGTATCTTTCTTGATGGGAGTGTTTGTTGTTGTTTCTTTTTTGCAATATAAGGTATCAAGTAATCCATCGAACATACACGCGGTGATTTCGAATGTGGATGTTTTGAAGTCGTGGTATTGCGAATTTTGTCCTGTTTTGCTGTGATTTTAACGCCACGTCTATAACTGTACTAATGTAACCAATGCCCTCTTACATTTCTTCAGGAATGATTATAATTTATCTTTATTATCCCTTTCTTTCAAGACCTGATGGACGAAGCTTTCTGGATCGGCGGGACAGATGAGGGTCATGAGGGAAGGTAATTAAGCTCATCAACCTACTAATTATTGTCTACGTAATCATACTAGTTCCTGCGTTATCAAATTAAGACTATAGTTTGAACGATTTATCTAAACAACCAGGAAATAAGATTAGGCAAGGCGTGATTCTTATACGCCGATTAACTAAATTCACAAATGCTTAGCAGATTTTAAGTATTCAGTGTAGTTGGAATAACTCGCTTTCTTGCAACTAACTGTCTGTTGTTGAAAATTAATGTGTGCCTCAGACTAAAGCAAGAAACGCAATAGAAATGAATTTAGACGATGCACACTTCACTTAAGATGTTTAGGTAATACTTTTTTTACGAAATGTTATTCTATACAGTAAACGTAGACAAAATCATAACCCATTAATGAGCTAATAAAACTAAACTACAATGAACCCCCATAATTGTAGCGAATTATCCCACGTCTGTTTTTCTAGCTGGGTCTGGGCAATCAACAACGAGGCAATGGACATGCTCACCCCTCCCTGGTACCCGGGGCAGCCCAACCACGGAACGGCTGCGAATTATGCCTGCCTCTACACACCCGACTTCATGTTCCACAGCTGCGACAACGACAGGAAAATTTATGCTCTTTGTCAGATCTAA